AAAAATATGGAACATATTTGTGATCATATTTCACTCATTTGTAACTTCTAATTGTATCTGATTGGCTCCTAACAATCTTCAATTATCGTTATTTGTTCTGAATTAACTATTGAAAAGTTACAATTGAGTCCTAAACCTTAGATTTTACCATTTTTTTTTATCGTTTCCCGCTTTTTTCTTTCATTTAGCCTCCCATTATCAAATTTCACCAAATCAACATTAACTTCTTCGTGATTCAAGCCAACATCACTATTTTCTACAAGTTTTGCATCATTTACACCAATTCACCAACCTATAAAACAACATGAAAACACAAATCAAAACATTCTAAAACTTTAAGAATCAAATGAAATATGAAGATTAAGAAGTATTAATATGATAAGTAAAACACGATCATTATGTATCCATAATGTTTATTCTAAGACGAGGCTCTCACTTTAAACATATACTAGTTTGAGCCCCTGCCGTGCGATTTCCTTGGGAAAGTTGCATATTTCTCAACTATGTGATAGTATATTGTAGCTAGAAGGTCTTATGATCGTCCTGTTTTTCCTTGTCCACTATATGACCATATCTCTCCACTATTGATTCTCCATTTCCTGCTCTCCTCTCCTCTCCATCATCTTGAAGGGATGACTCCAACTTTTCCCAGCTAATTAAAAAATCTAACAGATCTACGTTTTGTCCTCCACTCGCATTGGGAGAACTTGTTTTCCCTTCATAGTGGTTTAATAGGCGGGTTACTTGCTTGGTAGGAGTTGCGGTGCACAGAATTTGCACCAAGTCCTCGATTATATTTCCACTTCCATCTTTTCTAGAAGGAAGAAATGCATAACTTTGGTGTATTAGAATTTCATCATTGTGACATTTGCATTATCGACACATTATGTTGGCCATCGCTTGATGGAATTTGGCCATTCTCCTTGATGATCTCCAATGTCGCCTCTTCCGACCATTCCTTTCCATTGGGACAATTGGATTCTCATTCTTTTTAGAATTTTATCCTTGTTTGATCTACTTACGCTCATACTTTCTAGCTTTTTGCATTCCATACAATGTGTTCTTTACCTAGTTTTGTAAGTAACTTTCACAAATATAGCAAAATTGTTTACCTAGAAAATAGAAACTATCTTCAACATCCAACGATATAATCTTCTTCCAGTATTTTTGATAGATAAATTGAGTAACTAAGAAGAAGGATGAAGATTTTCTAAAATAATATTCAATATACAACTTCCATACTTGGCTGGTACATTAGAAAATATATAGCAAAATTTTCATCAACCACTACCTACTTGCCATTGCCATACTTTTAGACAGATTATATGGCATTACATATGGCCATACTTTGGTAGATTTTTCAATACACAAATACATTAAAATATACTCCAAACAAGTACTACAAAATACTCTATTTTTGGACAGTAAAAGTATCAACTAGCATTAACATTCCACTTTGAGACTTTTGTTGGAAACACCAAAGCAACTCCTCAATGTTTTGAACCTTCCTTTGGACAAAGTTTTTGTTAAGATATCAGCATATTGCTCACTTGAATTGCAATGTGCAAGCTTCATTTTGTTGGAAATAATACTGTGATTGAGGATATTACTCCTCAATCACAATCTTCCCATAGTATGCCAATGCCAATCACCTAATTGAAGGAGGCTAATTTACACGGTTTCCATTTCATTTACACGGTTTCCATTTCATTGTAAATTATTGATTTGTATTCCATTTATACTATCTTGTAAAGCTCTATATAATGCAATACGATACACCATTGAAATCAAGGTGGATTCCAGCCTCATTTGAGCTTCCCTGATTGAATGATACTTAATCTTTACGTGTTTTGTTCTCCCATGGAATACTGGATTTTTTACCATTGCAACCGTTGATTTGTTGTCACAATAAATGACTGTTGCATCAAATTGTATGTGTCCAAGATCTTCCAACATTTCCTTAACCTTAGATGCTGTTATATACTTTGCTTCAGCAGTTGATTGTGCCACAGTTTTCTACTTCATCGAATTCCAGCACACAATGGTTGAACCAACATAAAACACATAGCCTGAGGTACTTTTCATGTCATATGTTGAACCTGCCCAGTCATTATCTGTATAACCAGTTAAAACCAAGTCCTCTGATCTCTTGAACAAAATCCCCAGATTCTCACTTCCTTTTATGTACCTAAGGACTCTTTTTGCGCTTGGAAATGTAATTCACTTGGCTCTTGTCTGAATCTGGACAGCACATTTACATCATAGGTGATATATGGTCTTGTTGTTGTAAGACATAGCAATCAACTTGTTAGACTTCTATAGATCTTTTCATCCACTCTCTTAGTACCATCTTCCTTCATTGACTTTAGATTTTGTACCAATGGAGTGCTAACTGATTTAATTTTCCATATGGAACTTCTTCAAAACTTCCTTGACATATCTCTTTTGGCAAACAAAGATCCATTCCAAGAAAATATTGCATCTTACCAAGATCTGTCATTTCAAAACCTTTCTTCAATTCCTCCTTCACTTTTTCAATCAAGGTGCAATTGCTACCAGTTATTAGCAAATTATCAACATATAAGGATATGATGATCATTCCTTCTTCCACATATTTTATGTAAAGTGTTTGCTCATTTACACTTTTAACAAATCCCAAGCAGCACAAGTGATCATCAATGCGGCTGTACTAAGCCTTTGGAGCCTGTTTTAAACCATACAAAGCCATTTTTAATAGATACACTTTGTCTTCCTCACCTGCTACTGCAAAGCCTTCCGGTTGTTCAATGTACATTACTTCATTTAAGTACCCATTTAGAAAAGTAGATTTTACAGCCAACTGATGTATCTTCAACATTCTCTGAGCTGCAATTACAAACAACAACCTAATAGTTTCATATCTTGCAACTGGTGCAAATGTATCAGCAATATCGATTCCAAACGGCTGTGCATACCCCTTCACTACCAATCTGGCTTTGAACTCGTCTATTGATCCATCAGGGTTCATCTTGGTTTTGAACACCTATTTGACCCCAATCACATGCTTATCAACTGGTATATCAACCAGTTCCCAAGTCTCATTCTTTTCAATCATATTTAGTTCTTCTTTCATTGCTGCCAACCAGTCTTGTAACTCACAGCATCAACAAAATTCGATGGCTCCAGTATGGCAGAGTTGCATCTAGCACATACATCAGCAAGGGGTCTTGTCTGTAGCACAATATTTTCTGAGTCTGAGTCACCATCCTGATCTGGACCAATTGGTTCCTCTCCATTTGTGATAGTGTCCTCAATTTCATGAGCAACCAGCTTTGGAACTTGCTGGTTTTCCAGGCTTCTTGTATCCCAATTCCAGGTAGCACTTTCATCAATTTAAATATCTCTGATGGATATTATCTTCTTGGTTTGTGGAATATAAACTTGACATCCTTTTGCATTACTACAATAGCCAACTAAAACACCAACCTCAGCTTTTTGGCTAAGCTTATCCCTCTTTGCTTCAGGTATATGAGTGTAACAAACACTTCCAAAAACCGTTAAATGTGCCACATTTGGTTTTGTTCCATACCAAGCTTCATTGGGAGTTTTTCTTTCCAATGCTTTAGTAGGAAGTCGGTTTAAAAGATACACAGCTGTGCTAACAGCTTCTGCCCAGAATTCTTTTGGAATTTTTTTCATACATGAGACATCTTGTCATCTCCATGACTGTTCTGTTCTTCCTCTCACAGATGCCATTTTGCTGAGGTGAGTATGGGATTGTGAGCTGATGCTTTTATCCCTGTATTATCACAAAAATTATCAAACTAGCCGCATTTATACTCAGTTCCATTATCAGTCCTAATGGCCTTTATCTTGCTGTCACATTCATTTTCCATTTGTTTTTTGAATTTCTGAAATACAGCGGCCACATCTGATTTCAGTTTTAGAAAAAACACCCAACACATTATAGTTGAATCATCAATAAATAGTATGAAATACTCGCTGACATTAAGTGTCTGTGTATTCATTGGACCACACACGTCAGAATGTATGAATTCCAATTTATTTATAGCCCTCCTTGACAAATTTTTAAGAAATGGCATTCTGGTCAGTTTGCCCTTTTGACACACCTCACGTATACATGTTTCGTCACCTACATCTGGAATGTTTTCAACAAGTTCCAGATTGTGCAATTGCTTCAATGATGTGTAATTAACATGACCAAATCATTTGTATCATAAAGAGGAATCAACCACAGTGCAAGAAAGTGCTTGATTTTTCACATTTTTCCATTCCAATGGAAAGCTTCTTTGTTTCATGTTGACAAACATTAGCTCCTGATTTTTTGAATCAAATATGGTACAGCCATCTCCTTTGAAAATCAATGTATATTGCTTCTCAATCAATTGACCAACACTAATTAAATTCTGGTCAATTTCAGGCACAAAAAGAACATTAGAAATGAATTTGGTACCTGATGGTGTTTGAATTGAAATCACACCTATTCCCTTAACTTCCACATGTTCTCCATTGCCAACTTTAACCTTTTATCTGTAGTCATCATTCAACTCGACAAAGATACTTGTATCTGATCTCATATGATGAGTACAGCCACCGTCTAACAGCCAAGTCTCCACACTGCTGCTAGCTTTAAAATTGATGGTTGTGAACAAGTGCTCTTCCTGGTTTTGTTGATGATTTTCATCCACTTAAGCTTGAGGCTTTGATTGCTTGTCTTTTATGCTTTTACAAACCTTTTGAATATGTCCAAATTTCTTACAACCTCGGCATTGAACTTTAGGTCTGTACAAGCACCATTTGGGAGAGTGCCCTGTCTTTTTGCAATGAACACAAGGTGGATAAGCTCAACTTTTGCTTGCACCTTTGCTGCTTTCCCCCTTCTTTCTTTCATTTTGCTGCTTTCTTGTCCCAAAACTAGTTTGAGCCTTATATCTCCCTTTAGCAAACAAGGCCCCTTCCACCTGTTCTTCTTGCCTCATCAGTCTTCTTTGTTCAGTGGCCTACAAAGCATTCACCAATTCTGATAAGGTGATGGTGGACAAGTCTCTTGAATCCTTAAGAGATGAAATCTTTGCCTTAAATTTTTTAGGCAGGCTGATCAACACTTTCTCCACAATTCTTCTGTCAGGAAAATCATCTCCCAGCAGCCTTATTTGATTTACAACCTTCAACAGCCTATAAGCATACTCCTTAATTGATTTTGAGTCTTTCATCTTCAATGTTTCATACTCCCTCCTCAGGTTTAACACTTGCATTTGTTGTGTTCTTGCATTGCCCCTGGATTCCTCCTCCAAACTGTCCCAGGTTTCCTTGGCAATTTCACAAGTGATTATCCTTGTGAAGATGGCGTCAGAAACAATAGATTGGATGCATGAGAGAGCCTTAAACTTCTTAGAAACTTCTTCACTATGTTGCTTAAGTTGAGCAATTGTTGGATTTGCTTTAAGTGTTAGTGGTTCACTTCCAGTTTCAGTTATCTCCCACAGGTCGCATGCCTTCAGGTAAGCCTTCTTTTTTGCTACCCAAAAATCATAATTTTCACCTGTAAATACTGAGGGTAAAGGTGCTGAGAAACCACTTGAAGCCATCCTTAAAACTCTCAAGAATCAGTTGGTTGTGTTGTGAAGGTCTGCTGGTTTTTTCTTGAACCTATCTCTCGTTTTTCTCTGCTTCTTCTAAGATCAGATCAGCTCTGATACCACTGATAGATAAATTGAGTAACTAAGAAGAAGGATGAAGATTTTCTAAAATAATATTCAATATATAACTTCCATACTTGGCCGGTACATTAGAAAATATATAGCAAAATTTTCATCAACCACTACCTACCTGCCATTGCCATACTTTTAGAAAGATTAAATGGCATTACATATGGCCATACTTCGATAGATTTTTCAATACACAAATACATTAAAATATACTCCAAACAAGTACTGCAAAATACACTATCTTTGGACAGCAAAAGTATCAACTAGCATTAACAATTTCGGCAAATTTTTCCCTTTTTTGGGTTTTGAGTGTGATTTTGAGCAAGTTTTTTGTAGATATAAAAAGAAAGATGGAGTTTTTCAACATCATTTTGGCTGTAAAAGCTTTTTTTATTGAAGAATGTTAAAGCTTTCAAGAGTACCTACCCTTAATTTTCCTTGATATTGCCTTTTTAGAAAGTGTAAGTTTGGATATTAGATTTTCAAACCTTTTTATTTGTTCAAGTGGCCATACTCATAGACCATTTTATGGGCTTTTTTGGTCATTTTTATAGGTAGACATTCTCTAATCATTGTGTTAAAACTCATTATTAAGTCTAATTCCTCATGTTTGTGTTTGAGATCGAGTCGAGACCTTTGATTTTGTTGTTGGAAGAGGCTTTCAATTATTTTTTATCCAAGTAATTGAAGTTTTAAATTCATTTGATAAGATGGTCACGTTATCGAGACACACTTTGGATTGGACACATTTCGAAGGCCGAGATGAAAATATTTATTTCGTGACATGTGGTTTTGCAATTGACTCTTTAATCGCTGACATAGAGTCCCAATGAACAGTAATTATTTTAACATGTAATCAATCACTTTCTTCTAAACATTTTCTTAGTAATATGTCATTTGACTGATCCAACCCCTATCTTGTTGTAAACTCAAATCTATAAAAACTCATAGTCCAATAATTTTTCTTTTGAGTAAAACCTTGAAATTAGTTGAATGCTAAATTAAACCCACATAATTAATATTAAATGCTCTATTAATACAGTTTTGTCACTCATAACTTAAAAAAAGGTTGAACCTCAATCTTGAGGGCCCCACCGCTCCGCTCCTAGAACTTTGTGAGGGAGGTAAATCGCAGGATGTGCCTCAACAGGCCAGAGAACAAGAGCTGCCTGTACACTGCGCCTACAAGAAGTCCAATTCCATGTTTCAGGAATCGAATCCCCACACTGCGACTTCCAGCAAGGCGTGAGATAACCACTCCTGTCTTTTGCACCACTAGACTATGCCCCGAGGGGCATTTTGTCACTCATGACTTAATAGTGTTAAGGGTGGAGTTGGGAGCGTGGGTTGGGAAAGATGATTTTTTTTTTTTTTTTGTATTTCTCTTTCAATTATTTTAATTAATTATATATTAAAAGATCTATTTGTCCTTTTTAAAATCGATCAAATTAAGATTAGATGTTTAACTTTTGATCAATTGACAAATTTTTATATGGGAATCTTAGAGATCCTTTCAGCGCACATTTACTGAAAAATTCAAGATGTAGTTGTAAGGATTAATTTTGAGAGTAATTGTAAGGAACTACCGCTTGAGCCAGCCTTTGCTTGAAACCTGTGGGAAGTCGAAGAAATGGTAAATCACTTGATCATCGGCCGCCGGAGCCGTTCCTTTTCTTCAAGGTAAAGTCTATCGCAAAATCCTAGTTCTTTAATGAATTTATAGGAGTGCAGCTAAAAAAAGAAAAAAAAAAACACACACACACAAGCGCATATTATTTCTATGGCGTGCTTCCTGAATTAATGAAATCTATTTACGCCACTATCCACCTGAGTTTCTGATTCTTAGTTCATATTTGTATATGAGTTGTTTGGTTCCCAAATTCGATCTAGGGTTGTGTGATTTGGATCACTGGACTCGAAGATGTCAAAAGTGTCCCCATGGAAAAGTTGGATTTTCGACACTAGGCGATTACTTTTGGAGCAGAAAGTGGTCGCCTAGCTCTCGTTGGAGCAACAGGGATGTCGTTCACCTGGCACTAGATAGCGTTCGAGTGACAACGCTTTACGAGAATTTTTCTTTTTTTTTTCACTCATATTTTGACCTAGTTTTAATCTTTTAGGTTATTTTGTAGGGTTTTGACATGTTCCATATAAATAGTAGACTCTTTATTCAAGTTTAGATATTGTTGTAACAATATTATTTTCTTCATTGGTTGTTGAATAAAATATTGTTTCTCTGTCAATCTATTTCTTGCCTTTAGTCTTTTTTTCTATATATGATCATATTCTTCATATTGTATTATTTAGCCTCTTTTGTCCCCCAACAAGTGGTACCAAAGTTGTTTTGCTTTGCATAAAGTCGTTTCAGTTCTGTCTAGGGGTGACAAACTGGCCGAGCAGCTTGCCAGTTCGGCTTGTGAAAACGAAGCTCGTGGCTCATTTACGAGCTCGTTCAAGACGAGCCACGAACTGAGCCGCTTGTGGCTCATCTTGAAGAGTGACCAAAACGGTCACTTTTTTTAGTCACTTTAAAAATAATCCGTGACCGTTAATCATTGACCATTAACGGTCACTGAAATTTGTTTTCCTTCTTCTCTTCCCCCCTCTTTTATAAATAGCCCCACATTGGCCCAGCATTTTTCATCAACTCTTAAGTCTCGTTATGTCAAGATTCTCAACACTATTTCTCTCAGTCTCTCTTGTGCTCTAAAGTCTCAATTGGTTTTTCTCAACTCCCAATTAGTCTACAATTATACAATATAATTAATTATATAGATTCATTTTTACAATTTAATCATCTTCAATTTCAATTCATTTTTACAATTCAATCATCATCCTATATCATCTATTAATCTATATTATATCTTCACAATTCACAAACTGAAATGGAACCATGCACATTTGTCCAGGGCTTGTTTGGTGCCGGAGGCGGATCACCTGTGACGCCGCAAAGTTAATATCGGAATCAATTTTTTGATCTAAATGAAGTACCAATTCCTGAAGATATTCCACATTTGGATTTGGGAGTGGACCCTAGCAATAATCTAATTGATTTGGATGACATCGATGTTCCCAAAGACCAAGAGGAACAAGAGGAGGAGGAACCCAAATTAAACATTTCCTATACTAGAAAGAAGCGAAAGGGAAAAAAAAGGCAAAATGTTAGGATCATTTTAAATTGATTTCAACTAGCTGTGTTGTCGATGGAGTACCAGAGTCTTAAGGTAGTATGTAAATACTGCCAGCAACGATTGTCATGGCAAAAAGGCATTAGTACAACCTACCTCAATGCCACTACAAAGCGTATGCGGCCAAACATGGACTTTTTCAAACCAGTCAAACACAGCTGCAATTTGGTAGTCCAAGTGCCGGTACTACAACTTCGCCCCTCACTACATGGATGTATTCAGTGGAGAACGCTCGAACATGAATGATGAAACTTATTGCTGGTGCTGAGTTGCCTCTTGTAATAGCAGACAATAAATATTTTGTCTCATACGTGAAAGAATATCTTCAACCGAGATACATTGGGGCAAGTCGAAATATTCTTCATTCAGACATAATAGATTATTTTCTTCAAATAAAACAACAATTAATTTTAGATTTGCAAAAATATGATGGTGTTATATCTTTAACTTCGAATATATTGGAGGGGATTAATAAAAGAGCTTATATAGCTACAACTTTGGTATATACATAAAAAATTATTCCGTTTAAAATTATTGAAATCCCACATAACGCTGATATATATATATATATATATATTGCAAAAGTAAAATTCGTTCTTTTATATTCGACAACGCTAGTGTTAATAAAGTAGTTATCGATAAATTATGTAGGATATTTGATGCGAACCCAGTTAGCACGGTCGCTATCGAACACACAAGAATTGGCACCGAATCCCAAGAATGCCCAAATACGATCAAGGTTTAGGATCTAATCTCCAAATGTTGAACCAAGCAGCCAAAAGTATATTAAACCAATGACTTCTTGATCACAAAGTCTCGAAATCATTCCCAGATTGTTGATTTGAACCAATAAAAGATGAACCAAAATCCAGCAAGAATGATGCTTGAAAGACCCCTTGATTACATAATTCAAAGATTCAACTCGATGTTTTGGACACTACAAGAAATAAATTCTTGATAAGTTTGGTATTATTGTTCCATCATGAAACAAAATTGAAGGAAAGCTTCGAAGACAATTTTTATTGATTCATGAATACAGACTTGTAATTGTTACAATGAAAATAATCTCCTAATTATACTAAAATACTAAGATAATGAAATAAAGAAAAATATAATTAAGAATCCTAAGAATATGGTTAAAACGTGCATAAAAATCCTAGAAAATATAAAGTTACCAAAAACAAGTATTTTCCATCAAAATAGAACTCTCTCGCAAAATGAAAAATTTTCACCCCAGAATACCTCTATGCGGTCGCATAGTAGAAATCGATGTAGTCGCATAGAACAAACATCCAACTTGAATTTTTGTTCTGCCCTATAGTATGCGGTCGCATGACTTTTTTGAGCTATGTGATCGCATAGTTCAAAACTTAATATCTCTTTCTTCTTGTGCATAATTTCGTGACGATTCTGAATTGTACTCATGAGCAAAAAATTGACACTCTAGCTTTAAGTTATGCCCTTTTTAATCCATGCTGCTCTTTTTTCCATTTGTCGCCCAAAACTTTAAATCCAATCCTCTTCGGCTCCCAACCCCAACATTAAAGTTACTCCTTGACATGTGAACTTCATTATTTTTGACCCCATAACCTCGACACTTAATTGCATGATTTTATTGGCTTTGATCAAACTCGACTTTGCACTCAGTCTCATGAATTGTACTCATGGGTGAAAATTCGACACTCTAGCTGA